TCCCAAGCCAGCTCTTAACCGACGTGCCACTCGGTCGGCCCCAACTTCTCGTCTCTTTATGACAACTTGAGCCGAAGTTAGGGTCTAGCCTTCCCACAGAAGCAAGGCAATGGATGATTCCATTTCGAAGAAATGGTTCCCGGGTCCTTGAGAAAGACTTGCCTGGGTTGAAAATCTGGCCACGGGCTTATTTAACTTTTGAAAAGATTTACATACATTTCAAGGAGACAGAGAAAGCACTTCCAAGTCCAAGTTCTCTAAAGTAAAAGCTCTAAGAAGGGAGTGGGATGGGGGTGGGGATCTCTCTCCTGTTATTTTCCATAGGGAGAATGAAGTCTCTTATTTTTAATTTCTGTCTCCCTTTGCAGAAGTCCACTTTGGCCCTCAAATAGTGCCTGCTGGGGGAAGGGGTGTGAATGTTTGGCCCCTGGGTGGGCATTTGTCTTTGCTATGAGAACATCTGAGGGGTGGAGTAGATTTAGGCTGTATTTGATCTTGCAGCCTGAGTGGGAGCAGAATGGATGGTGCCCCTTTAAGATTCTCCATTGCTTGAGGCGTTTTTGGATTTGCCTAGGATGTTAGCAGTGATGGGTGGTCACTTGAACCACAGATGCCCTCACCCCTGTGTCTTCCTGTGCCCTGTGTCACCCCCTCCCACCCCTCCGTCATCCCCCACACACTTTTGGTGTCTCTCAGCTCCCTGACAGGGTGGAAAGGGTTTGGGGGACCCTGGCCTGGCGTGGCTCCTGTCTTCCCTCGCCCTCCCCAGCGCAGCTTCTGGCTTCTGCTCCACTCGAATTAGACTCTAACCCACTAGAAGCTGCAGCCAATTCTGCGGAAAGTTCAAATCTTCAGGGAATTCATAAATCAGCCTTTACAGCTAAGTGTTCTCCAGAAAAAGACTTGGAGAGTTGGGGGTGGGGTTCAAAGCACAGCACAATTGCTCCTTACTCTTCGCAGACTTCTCGTGTTCATGTTGTGAACAATCTGGCAGAGCCATCCTGAGAGGGGGTGACAGGGCTGCTAGGGTCAGTGAAGGGACAGCAGGCTGGCAGAGGGGGCATTAGGTGGCTCTGGGCAGGTATGGAGGGGCAGGTTCTGAGGCAGGAGAGGGGGACAGTTCTGAGGCACAGGTGCCATGACAGCCCTTGTTATGTGTTTAGCAAATTCTGAGCAAGACTTTGCATTCTCAGGGCAGGACCCTAAATTTCTGCACCCATGTGTCTCTGAGCATCTTTTGCTGCGTGTCTATGTCTGAGTGCCACATGTGCGTGCATGTCATTGCACGCAGTGCAGAGGGAAGAAGTTTCCATGGGGGCCAAGTCCTGCAGTTTCTTGGTCATAGGCAGTGTTAGCAGAGAGGGAGGGACACTGTGGCTGGGATGATGTGAGAGAGCCTGGTTGTACCCTTGTCCACTGTCCCTCATTCTCCGGGCCCTAAACTTGGCTGCTAGTGGCTGAGAGCCACAGCTCCACCCTCTCTCATGCCCCTGTACCTTTGAACCTGCAGGTCCCTCTGCCTGGAACACCCTCCCCCTATTTCTTCATCTGGCTAAATTCTGCTCATCCTTCAGAGATGT